GCTGGGTAGGGTGGCAGCTGTGCCCTGCTCTGGGCCTTGGGGACAGCGGAGGGACCTGTGCCAGTTGTGGCACCTCTGCAGGAGGACAGGGGAGCAGGTGCTCAGGGCAGAGCTGGGTCCCCCACACTCCAAAGCAACCAACTGGGCAAAGACCACCCCACTCAGGGTGCTGCATCTCAGGCAGGCCTGACATTTGGGGACATCCTGTCCTGGCCACCCAGCCTACCTGGGGGTGCAATGACTCCAGTCTGACCCTAAGCCATCAGAGCCGTGGCATCCCCACCAGGAAGCCCCCATGGAGTACACGTCAGACACTCAGGCTGCTATTCAACCAGTTTAATGGGACAGCAGACGGCAGGCAGTGGCGTGGCCTTGGGAGGAAGGGTCTGCTCAGCCTCTGGGCCTCTCCCCTGCCTCTGTGCCCAAGTCAGGGAAGGGCACAGAAGCCCAGGAGTCAGTCAGGGTCAGGCTGGCAGCAGGGGACGGAGAGGCGGTGCGGTGCTGAGGGCAGAAAGGGGCCCCCCTCAGTGCTTGCAGGGCTCAGCAAGGCACCGTTGGCACGCGCTGGCAGGTCCAGGACAACTAGGCCATCGCTGGAGTGTAGACCCCAGGGTAGTCCTCGGAATCAGAGGTCCAGCCCCAGCTTGGAGCCACATGTCTAGCCAGTAACAGACCAGGAGCCAGCGTCACCCCATGAGAGACAGCATGTCCCCTGCATTGCAGCACGCACCCGCCCTGGGCCAGGACTCCCCTGGCAGGAGCCCCACCCTGTCGTCCCCGATGGCGCTGCCTCTGCCGCCCGCTGCGGGCCCCGCCAATACATTCCCTCACAGGCCTGGTTCCCCAGGACAAGGACCTCGGCCTCCTGCAGGTGGTGGGATGGCCGCAAGGGCACTGCGGGAGGGGCCGGCAGCCTGCGTGCTGACCCTGAGAGCTTCAGCTCCGGGCTCCAGCCCTGACAGCAGTGAGGCCACGGGCTTGGCTGAGAGCAGAGGCGTCCCCCTTCCAGGACCAACGGGGGTGTCATGGCCCTGGGAGGCCCTGGTTGCAGGCAAGCTGCCAGGCCGAGGGTGGGCTGCACGGCCTGGGCAGACCCTGTGGAGGGCGTGCGGAACTGGCTTCGGAGGCATGCTCCGTGTCTGGGGGCGGAGGGACATGTGGCCTTTGACAGCCACCACGAAGAGCATGACGTGGGACTGAAACCGTGTCCCTGAGTTCTCACGGCAGCACGCACGTCCCCAGGAAAAGCCCAGAAAGTGTCTCGGGAGGACAGAGAGCGGCTCCCTGGCAGCTTGGGGCCTCACGACCCGCGACCAGCAACCCTCCGTCTGCGATGATGACACTGCGAACAGGTGCAGAGGGGCTCCCTGGGAAGCAGGCTCGGCTCTGGCTCCGTCTGGGCAGTGGGCAGGGAGAGCTCTCGGAACAGCCAGGCCAGGCCCTGTTCTCCCAGGCTCCCACAGGGTGTGCAGGCCCTCCCTTGGGATCCCTGCCCTGCGCTCCTATGAAGTCAGCCCCTTGGGGCCCAGCCACAGGGTCACTTCGCCAGCTTCCAAACTGCACAGAGAGACCGGTGTACAGGGGGTCGGCTCAGTGTCAGGGTGTGAGCGAGACCGGGAGCTAAGCCTGGGGACCACCAGATCTCTGAGGTGGGGTGCCTCCCAGGGGCAGGCAGGTGAGGTCCTGAAGCCCCACCGGTGACCCAGGGCCCCCACAGCCCTGAGTCCGTCACCCCACTGGCCCACCCGCCTCCAGGGCTCTGACTTGCTGTGGCTTCGACAGCGCACCCGCTGCCAGGCACTTCATCTCGGGGACGGGCACCAGAGACCCGGGAGCAACGAAGACAGGGTGGACGTGCCCCCCTGGGGGCGCCTCCAGCCACAGCGGGGCCACGTCTGTGCCTCCCAGCAGACAGGGTCACGCTGAAGTTGGGGTGCGGGATGACCCGAGTCACCCCCGCCAGCCGGTCGTGGTTGGTCCGCACCCTGTGCCATCTCATAGCAGCCCGAAGGAGATGGGTCCAGAGTGGAGACCCAGCTCCCTGCCTCCCCTGCCACCTTCGCGAAGAGCCTCGGCTCTGGGGGGCTCAGTGTAGCCTGGACCCCGTCCCTGCCACAGCTGGGCACTGCCCCACCTCAGTGGCCCCAGCCCCATGCCTCCCACCTAGGGGCGGTGGCCACTCACGGTGCCATGCAGCGGGCAGCCATCAGCACCCTGGGGCAAACCAGAGAGCCCCCAGAGGGGCCCCCACTAGTCACACTCTCTGCTGAAGGTCCTCGGCTGTGGACTGCATGACCTGCCACGGCCTCTTCCTGCATCCCCACGATGCCCAGCTTCTCAGCCTGGGCGAGTGTCTGGGGGAGCCCAGAGAGGAGGCACACGGGGCCGAGGTCCCAGAGCTCTGAGCAACCCTTGTGCTCAGTGCCTCCCCAGGGGCCAGGTCGGTACAGGCCTGGGACCAGGGAGCGGGGAGCGGTGAGGGTGTAAGACGGGCAGCTCGCTCAGTGCAGCGTCTGCCTCTGTTCCAGGGTCCCTCAGAGCCCCTTGTCCTCCCGGCCCAGGACATGGGCGTGGCGTGGTGTGGGTGGGGCTTCCTCTCTGGGGAGGCTCAATCAATCCCTGCCCCTCCAGTTCACCAGCTTTGCACCTGCCCTAGGTAGACCCAGGGAGCCAATCACTGAGAGGGGTGACGTAAGGTGTGTGGCCTGCTCAGGAAAGCGTACCCGGGAGGGGGAGAGGGCGCTGCCCGGCTTCCCCAGCCCCACAGCTGCCCTGCGGCATGGCCTACTCCTCCACGTGGGCCCGGCTCCTACCACCCGGAGCACTCCGGGAGAGGCCGAGGGGCCTGGGGACCAGCAAGGCCGTGGCCATGGCTGAGAGCCAGGGGGCTGCGTTTCCCTCCCTCTTCCTGCCTCTGCCCAACTGTCAGCTTTGGGAGCCTAAGCCCTGGCGACCTGACAGATTTCCAAGTAGGGCACTGTGGTTTGGGGAGAGTGGGACAAGCCCAGGTGGGCCCCATGGTTGGAGGCGGGTCCCTGCTTGGCACGTGGGAGGTGAGAGACAGGAAGAGGGAGGGTGCTCCAGGGTCGGCCCTTCCCTTCCTGCAGACCCTCCAGACCCAGCCAGTGGGTCTGCCCCCTACTCCCCTCGGTTCGGTACTGCCAGGCCCAGCCTATTGGCTGATCTGGGTCATGTGAACACCGGAGGCTCCTCCGACTAATCGACTAATCGACTAATCGCTGGACTCGCCCGCGTGGCCCCATGGCTCCTGGCCTCTGGAGGAAAGGCACCAGGACACTTCCCGAAGACTGCCGGGTCGGGGAGCGCTGCCCTGGGCCGGGATGTTCGTGGGCACTGGGTGGGCTACACCTGCAGAAAGACCCGGAAACTGTGGCCCCCACGTACTTGGTACCTTGTTGCTCCTTTGGGCGGTTAACCCTGGGTGGGATGTGGCCCCAGCACAGCGGGTGGAGTGTTCGGAGTGACGATTCAGGGACTTTGGGTACATCCCACTGCGGCGCCCTCAGCGGAGCGGCGTGCCCTCCCTCCGGCTGTCACACCTGTCCCCGGCCCCTAGTCGGCCTGTCTGCAGACGTCAGTTTCAGGGTCTCGGATGCCCCCGCTGGAGGCCGTCAGGGCAGTGGCCGCCCCCAGCGGGGGCTGAGGCTTCCAGACCTCAGGAGTTGGTCTCTGACATTCCGGAAGCAGCATCAGAGGCCACCAGTGGCGGCTCACCTCACCACGTCCTGGACTGGTTTGTGAGGGCTCGAAAGGCTTGATCACCTCCCTACCCACCACGTGGGGTCAGGCCTGAGCCTGTGGTCACCACGCCCCAGTGCCAGGCCCAGGGGCTGGGACAGGGCAAGGTGAGGTAGCCAGAGCCTGACTCTGGGCTTGTCTTCAGGGTGCAGGCTGTGTGTAGCCCGGAGAGTGTCAGCTGGACAGTGCCAGGTGGGGCCCAGTACCAGGCCCAAGCTCACTGCAGAACTCCTGGACCCCACAGGGGCTGCTGGGACAACCCGGGACTCCTGGCACACAACCTGCGCCCTGCAGCCTCGCCTCCCTTACTGGCGGACGCGGGGAGCCCTGAGGGGCCCCAGGAGCACCGACAGCTGCTAGAGTCAGTCCCTCCTGGAGATGCCTGCCCCCCACCCCTGCTCGCCCCTAGAGCCCACCTCTGGGCTCAGAGTCAGAGTGCAGACAACCGGCACCATGGACACAAGGCAGGCCGGGCACCAGGAGCCGAGGACCGCACCGTGAAGAGGAGTCGTGGCAGGCAGCGGCTGCTCCCACTGGAGGGCTGAGCTGTGGCCCCTGCTGGCTGAGGGTTCAGGGGGCAGGGGAGCTGTGCTGTGGGCAGGGAGTCAGCCAGAGGCCATAGCTTGGCTTCGCACCCCGTCACGGACCCAGCCCCCGCTTCGTGCACCAGCGCCACCCTGAGACTCGGGCAATGGCACTTGGAGGCCTCGAGATGCCTCGAGTCAAGTGTCAGACGTGCCCAGCAGGACAAGTCACTGTACTGACCGGCCAGGGACCTGGTGGCAGCAGCCAGACCCCGTTTCCTAGTCGTCGTTCCAGTGGGGACTGAGGATCACACAACCCTGCAGGAAGACCTTGGGGTCACTTGGCAGAGGCTGAGTGTGGGGTGAGCCAGGGAAGTTCTGACTTGGGCCAGACAGGGCTTTCAAGCCCAGAAAAGAAGAAAGTCTGCAGAGTTTGCAGGGAGCTGGGAGGACAGCAGGCCAGCCCCAAGTGTCCCCGCTCTGGGACGCACGGGCCAGAGGCCATTCCTCCCAGGTGGGCCTGCAAAGGGAGCAGGAGGGAGGGAGGGGCTGCTCACGTGGGGAGAGGCAGCCTGCCTGTCGTAGACGTGGGCCGTCCTCTCCACCGGCCCATCCTGAGGGTGCCGGTGCCAGAGACCCCACCCATGGAAGCCCGCTGCCCACTTCCGGGAGCCCAGGTGCCCCGCGGCCCAGACACACTGCAGCCTTGAAGCCGTTTCACACCATTTACTGAGCTTCACATTACCAGTAATGTGAAGGGGGACTCCTGGGACTGAGCTCCGGCTCTGGCCCATCTCTGGGTACCCCCCACCCCAAGCTAGCCGGAAGAAACAGAACCTTGAAAAGCCGCAGAAGGAGAGGCTCAGGCAGGGGTGTAAAGGGAGGGTGAGGTCAGGATTGGCGAAGGGTGGGTGCAGACCCCCCGGCCGCACCTAGGGTCCAGGGAACAGAGGGACGTACTGCAGGATCCAGGGCACGTAGCTCATCACACTGGTGTACACCCCAGGGAAGTCGCGGTGACCACAGAGGTGGCCCCAGCTCACCACTCCCACCTGGACCCAGGTGCAGTTCCACCTGCACACCAGGGGGCCCCCGGAGTCCAGCTGTGGGGAGGCAGTGCTCAGCAGGTGCCCCAGGACCGGGGCTGGGTCCCCACTCCGCGGGCCAGGGCCACCCATCCGGGCTCACCTGGCAGGAGTCCCGGCCCTTGCTGCCGGCACACAGCATGTCTTCCCCGATCCCGCTGGGGTCCTCCGGCGAGGAGAGGTTCTGGTACCGCTGGTCACAGTCCTCCCACCCCACGATGGGGACATTCACCTCCTGCAGCTGGTAGGGCGGGGGCAGCGGCGCTGCAGGAGGGCGAGTGAGAACGAGGGGCTCTGGGGGGCTCCTGCCTTTCCCGACAGCGGGGCGCTCGTGCAGAGTCCCAGCCTTCGGTAGAGGACGAGGGGAGCCCAGTTTGACCCCGGGGTCCATGCCTGGCCACGCCTGCTTCGGTGTGGACGCCCACCGGCATGGTGATGGTGGGCTCCTGGGGGCCCAGTTCGTGGCTCGTGACCCCCGTGGAGCTCCTCCAGCAGCGGGGCACCCTCGGGCTTCAGGATCACCTGGTGCCCCTCTCGGGGTCCACCTCCCACCCCTGGGCTGTGGTCTGAGCTGGCACCCAAGGCTGCCCAGTTCCCGACGGGTGTCCCAGAAACCCCGGCAAAACCCCGTGCCGTGTTCACCTTGCTCAGGGGGCCTGGGGCCCTCGCCAGGTTTCTGTGGACGCCCCAGCCCCCCGCCCACCCCCGCAGGCATCCCTGATACCTACTGTCGTCTGCCACGTCTCCCCAGCCCGTCACCCAGCAGGTCTTCCCCGGGGGCACCGTCAGGGAGGCTGGCGGGAGGGAGACGGGGTGGACGTGCTCCGACAGCTCCAGGGGCGCCTCCAGCCGCAGCAGGGCCACGTCTGCGCCCCCCTCGGCAGACAAGCTCTCGTTGTACTTGGGATGGCGGATGATGCCGGCCACCCTGGTCAGCTGGTCGTGGTCATAGAGCCGCAGCTGGCCCGCCTGCACCCTGAAGGAGCACGCCTCCAAGTCCTCCCTGGGGAGGGGACGGGACGGGCGGGCAGGCGCTCAGGCCAGGGCTCTTCCCGGGAAACCCTGGCCCGCCTCATGCCCACGCAACCCTCGGTCCCCTCCCCGCCCGCTCCCGCCAGCAGAGGGCACAGTCGGCCACTCACGGCTCCCGGCAGCTGGGGGGGGGCAGCACCCACCC